CGAGGGAGCGGGGCCCCGCAGCCCACGCCGGCCCCAGGCGCACGGCTCTCGCTTCAGTCACCCGGGCAAGAGGGATAACAAAGAAAGTGTCCAAATATTTTATTCTTCACAAGTTACATTAACCACATATTACTTTATGGAGCATTTACAAACCATTTTTTTTTCCTTGATCTTAATCTTCATCTCTACCTGCTCACTCGCACCACCAGCTCTCCTGAAAGGGCCTTTTCCATCTCACACCTACCCCCCCTCAGACCAGACGCTTCTCGCCCAGCAGTCAGGCCCTGAACACGCCTTCCCCGCCACGATCGAATAGCTACTTTAAAAAAAAAAAACAAAAAAAAACACCAGTTCTGAGGTCGATATAAAAGTCTCTGGCCTCAACTAGTGACTTCTAGGGGAACTGGCCAGAGCTTTCTGCTCCAAGGAAGGACACGGGTAACTCTAGAGGGGCGGAAAGCTGCGGGTCGCTCGAGTTGGCTACAGGAGCTTTTTCCCCTCGTCTCACCGGCTCTGTGCTGAGGCACAGCCGCTCCTCGCCAATCCCCCACGTCGAACCAGCAGCCACTCGATCCCTTACTATCCAAGCAGCATTTTTGTTCCTTCGGCTCCCTGCTCACGCCCTGTTCCTACCATTAGCACAGTCAACCAGGTTGATTACTTACATGCATAAAAGACAGATTAAAAAAGCAGAAGGGAAAAAAAAACCCCTTTTAAACACCAAAAACATCTTTCTTACTGTCCACCTGACTAGTTCACAGATTGGATCATTCCAACAACATAGTCATAATCACTAAACACTAGACAAATTTTATCAGGACTGGGAAAGAACCCCACGAAGCGTCCCTGGAAACGCTCGCTAAAGGAGTGGTCGCACGTGGGCTCCTTCCTGCTGGCCAGCCCCAGCCTAACACATTTACACTAACCTTTGAGAGGCGACCACCAAACTCCCGTGAATTAACAACGCTGGCAACGCTGCTACAGACCTGAATGAGAAACGCAGTGAATCTAATCAACAGAAACCCTGTTCCCGGAGGCCAGAAGATCCCGTGAGCTCCAGAGTGTTCAAACGCTGCCGTCTCGTAACGGGCAGGAAGATTAAACGGGGCAGGAGGGGGTTAGGTAGGACTTGAACACTTCTTTGAAGTGGCACGTGGGCAGGAAAGTGAAGACATCCTGTAGTGAAGAGTGCATCGTTCTTCAAAAACGGGTTAAAAAATTCCCATGTAGCAAATAACATAGAAATGTAACAGTGTAGTTAATTTTCCGAGTTTCTTTAGAAAGACTGTTGTTGATGCTGGTTTGTGTTCAGCTTGCTGGATCTTCCAGAAGAAAAAAAGACTAATGGAAAGGCTGAGGGGGAGGAGCAGGGACGAAGTCTGGGGAAAGAAAGCGTGAATCTGTCTTTAACATGCAGGTCATATAAAGCATTTTGGTTTTCCATTGTTTTTTTTTTTCCCCCCTCTTGGACACTTCCAACTCAAGAAATGGCAACACGCACATGGCTTCCAGTTTTTAAAGCAAAGAACATAGTTCCCACGGACTGCGCTGCAGAGACAGGAAGACAAGACATTCGCAAATTCAGTCTTTAAGAAAATAAAGTGTCCCTTTAACCACTGTGAACACTAGATAATGAAACTCATGTCAGTCACACAACGTGTGAGGGACGTTCTTATCCACCACTCCTCTGGGCTGAGCCTTGCATCGGAGGCACAGCACTAGCAGTACTGATGCAGAGAACCCAGTCTGTACGGAGGGGAGACACGCCAAATTGCTAAATTAAGGCACAAGACAGATATTGCAGCCAAAACCATAAATTCTCACTCAGCTGGCCACAGTACAGCAGCACTCCCGGCCACAGCCTCACCTGGAG